GCAAGCAAGGTTGTATCATATGCATATTGCAGGTTGTTAATGAGTCGTCCTCCAATCCTGATGCCACATTCTTCTCCGTATAGCCCAGCTTCTCGGATTATTTGCTCAGCATACAGATTGAATGAGTATGTGAGAATAGTAACAACCGTAATTTCATCCTCATGACATCCCAGTGAGGAGACCTGAGGAGACTGAGGCTTAGAGACATGAATTAACTTGACTAATGTCACTCTAGGGTAGTAGATGGCAGGGCCAGATTTGAATCTCGATTTCACCGAGGCAGAGTCTCTGTTCTTCACTGCCTAAAGCATATGACACTAATGAATCTGAAATTACTGGATTTTCTGCTTTTCCTCTATTACTTCTTCCTCTGTGTATTTTGCATTCTCTTTCTTTAACTTTTCCTCCCACTCCATCTTTACCTTTAAACCAATCATAACAGAATTTGATGCCCAGTGTACTGATGATCCTGTATCTAAAGAGCAAACTTCCTGAAACAGCCACCTCTGAGAAGCCCACCACAAATCCCAAGTAGCCACTAAAGGACTTGGAGCGGCAGGGGGCAATGCACCTGCCCCTCAGGAGGGGTCCAGAATCCTTGTCAGTCTCCCACTGAATTGATTCAGGGGAAGATGCACTTACAGACAGCGGAAGAACCTGCCAGCTGTTGTTTTGGTGAAGAGACAAAAGACATAGAAAAAGCAGACAGTGTGGGGCTGTGCACTGGACAAGTCGCCTCAGACTTGCAGGGCTGAGGTAGTGCTGCAGGCAGAGCAGTCTGCCCCACCCGCCGTGGGACCAGCCATGAAGGAGAGATTAGACTGTTCATGGTGTGCCTTCAGGGAGTAGAGATTTCTAGAACGCATTTTAGAAAGGCTTTCATAAAAAGATTAGCATGTTTTAGGTGGCAGTTCTTTGAGGGGGGGATGCTTAATTTATCTAGAGAAGTTCCTCTGTGTAACCCCCAGTCCCTCCTGGACAACGTGGTGTTACTTAAGGGGTACAGGTTTCCTGGTGGGGAAGCACATCCTGGATCCACCACTGCCAGCTTCCTGACACGTGTTGAAAGCACCCATCCACCTGAGCCATGGCTCTTCCTCATGAGGCGCCTGTGAGGATCAAAGAGGGGACGGAATATAAGGTGGCTGTCAAGGTGTGGGTGCACAGGAAATGTCTAATAGGTGGTATTACTGTGCATGTCATGTGCTGTATTTAAGAAATAGTTTATGTTCTTTGCCCTTCACTTTGAAAGTGTTGGTTAGAACACGTAGTTTTCTTTTAAAAACCCATAATAAGGAAAGGTTTTTAATAAAATACCACTGAATCAGTGTTGTTATTATTGTTTTTAGTTTCATTTGTATATGGGGAGGATTCTTGGCAGGCTTTCAAGTTCAGCCCTCCTCTATTTTCTGGAAAAGTTTGTTTACGTGTATTTTTTCCTTAAACGTTTGAAAGCATCACCAGTGAAATCATCTGAGCCTGGAGTTGTCTTTGTGGGGAGGTTTTCCCCCCAGTGATGTTTATTACATCATCATTCATAGTAGTAAAAAGCTGGAAACAAAATGAAATAGTGGATTGGGTGACAACCTTACGGTACATCCATACCATGGGATAGTAAAGAATCAAATAAGGGGAAAAAAACCCCCACAAACCTACTGCCAACGAGTTGATTCCGACTCATAGCGACCCCATAGGGTTTCCTAGGCTGTAAATCTCTACGGAAGCAGACTGCTCCATCTTTCTGCCATGATTTTGGCTTCTGTTTGCCTATACTTTTCCTCATGGAGTCATCTTATCCTATTTTCTTGAGGCCAAATCCAGTTTTTAAATGAATGGTATTTGTGCTTTCAGATTCAAAAACCATTTATTATTATGACTTATTGTATAAGGTGCTTGGCATATATTAAACCAAAAAAACCAAATCTGTTGCCGTCAAGCCGAGTCTGACTCAGAGTGACTCTGTAAGACAGGGTAGAGCTGACCCATAGGGTTTCCAAGGCCGTAAATCTTTAAAAGCGTAGACTGCCACATCTTTCTCCCATGGAGCAGCTGGTGGGTTCGAACTGCTAACCTTTTGGTTAGCAGCCGAGTGCTTAACCACTGCGCCACCAGGGCTCCATTTTATTATTATGACTTATTATAAAAAGTGCTTGGCATATATTAAAAGAAAAAACCAAACCCGTTGCCATTGAGTTGATTCTGACTCATAGCAACCATTAGGTACTAGTAAATGTTACTTTCTCCTTTCACCTTAATTGAAGACTTTTCTTTCTACAGGTTAGTCAGATAAATTTATTTTCCCTGTATCCTTCCAGTAAAATGAAACTTTGATATTTCAAATTGATCATTTTCTATTTCATAGAGACTCAGTCCTGGTAATTAGAATTTTTTTCCAGTTGTAGGGAAAGTCTATTTCTGGTAGATATCCTTTGGGTTTTTTGGAAGCAGCGACTGCCTATGTTCCTCTATAGTCAACTCCATGACGTCTTCTGTTTCCACCAGAACAGTGAAAAAAAAAAAATACCCTGAATGTCATCTGACCCCAAAATCCAAAGCAGCCCCAGTCAGAGAAAGGGATTGCTTCCAGTACTTTGAGAATCATTTTTTTTTACATGATTTTTACAAGAGAGGACAGCTCATTTGAATTTTATTAAGCACTGCTATTTGAACAAAGGCTAGCAATACCCAGATAAATGTGCCTTTCTCAATGTTTGTCTCAGTTCACTACTTCTGAGTGAATGTCTGTGGAGGCAGAAAAGAATTCTGTCTGCAATAAGCAAAATATGTTTTGGGGCCGTGATAACTGGTTTTCATATTAAAGATGAGAAGAGTAGATATTTGTTTGCCTAAATGACATAGCCCTTTGATTACCAACTTCTAAAAACTAATTTTCTGAGATAGGGTATTCAAATATTAGAACTACTGCTAACTCCAATTAGTTTCTTGCTCTTTCCACCTAATGCAGGATTTCTCAGCCTCAGCACTAGTGACATTTGGGCCAGATAATTCTTTGTCACGAGCGGCTGCCCTGTGCACTTCTGACCTCGATGCAGTAGATACCACTGTCACCCCTCCCCAACTGTGACAAACGGAAACGTCTCCAGACTTGCCAAATGTCCCCCGGGGCGCAAAATCACTCCGAGTTGAGAATCACTGACCTGCAGCATGCCACAGGCGGTAGGCAGCCTGGCGCGGGGTGGCATAGTGGGGTTCTTCCGCAGTCTAGTCCTGAGTCAGGGACCCCTCACGGTGTGGGCCCCCATAAGTGCCTTCATGGGAAGCAGATAAAAAATGCTCTACAATCAATTGCATAGATGCCCCAAAGGAATATTTTACATGAACTTTGTTCTTCTTTGTGCTTTATTGGTGTCTTTATTCACCTCCCCACCCCCAAGAAAAAGAGCTGTTTCCTGGCATGTCACTCAGAGGATGGTCAGGAGCAGTGTGTCCTCTGGAACCCTAGTTCTACGGATTGGTAAATAGGTCGTATGTAAGAAAAGAATCCTGGGGCCAAAACGTTTGGGGTGAGGTGTTGGTTTAAAGTGTGGAACTTTTGAGTGCCTTTAACTTCTACTCTAAATTGTGACTCTCTGAGAGAAAGAAGAGTGGACATAATTTCTGAAGCTTCTTGGACATGTTTCTCAAGTTTCTTCACCAAGTTTTTTTTCCAGAGAAATCGTGTTCTGTGGGACATGTTTTGGGAAGTGCTGCTCTATATGCACTTAGGGGAGGTGCTGATTCTGTGGGGCCAGAGTGCTGGTGAGGAGCAAATGGTACGATGGTTACTAAGCTGAGGGGGCGTGAGAAGACCCTGTAATGAGTGGAGATCAAGCTCTGGTCTCTTACACACCATATGGCCCTGAGGGCTACTAGGATTGGAGAGACTGAGATTCTAGTCGGTAAATGAGCTGCCCCCTTGCCGCCCATCCCTCTCTACCCCACTGCCTGGCCCCTCACCCAGGGCTCCCCAGATCTCCCCTCTACGCAACAACTAAAGGGCTAGAGCCTGGTTCAGCCAGGGCCTTTAGCACCCTGCTTCGGCACCGGGCTGTGTCTTTTTCTGATTGCTGTTAACCATGGGTTGCAAGTTGTTAACATTTTGAATATCATCCTGGGTGTGAGGGAGAAAATAGGGTAAGTAATGAAAGGGGTCTGAATTTTTTTAGTCAGAAGTAGTGTTATATTCAGCTTGTTCTTATATATTAGGACCCCATTCACTGGTCATCTTAAGAAAGACTTAGAATAGTTAGCCGTGCTGGTTTAAAACAGCAGTAAAGAGTCATTGGGTATAATCACTCTTGGAGTAGCCACACAGAATGCTATAGATGTGATTAAATCAGCAGAAGAGTTTTCCCAGCTCAAAGAAAGAAGCATATTTTCATGATGCGCTGCTTTCATAGCCCTCCCAGATGTAAGTTCTTGGCTGATTTAGTCATTCATCTGGGGAGAATCCGCCGGCACACTGCAGGGGGAGGCCATTTCTTGACAGGAGTCTGTCTGGGTGAGGGGGGGAGCAGCCAGCCTCAGGCCGTGGCCCCTATATCGCTTGTAGTTGGCGTGGTTGTGGACGTGAATCCAGTGTCAGGCAGAGCAGACTTCATAAAGACAAGCCTGCCACACTGCCACACCTGCCCGGAGGACACCTGTCACCAGGGGAAGGAAACGGAAAGAAGGCACAGCCTTCATTAAAACAAGAAGGAGGGTGGGTCTGTTCATGGGACTCTGCAATGCTTATTTTCAGATTGCATATAAATTTGCTTGGGTGGTTAGTTTCCATAAACTGATCAATAGGAAATTTTAGTATCTGTTTGTACATTTCTTAATTGTAAAAGAAACTACCAAGGTGTTCTTTCATGAGCTTAGAGGGGAAACATTTTAATGTATGTCCAAAGCTGTAAGAACTTTGATTTTTATGAGATAATGCAGAAATGAGGTAGGTTTAACTTCAACTTCTAATGGAAGAAATAAAACCTAATTAACTTACTTGAAAAATTTGTGATTTTTCTCAGTCGTGATCATGGCTAATAAATAATGATTTCATAACCCTAACTTTAAAGTTGACCTAAATTGTAAATTATTTATTTTTACCTACAAAATAGTATTGAGCAAGTGAACAATCTCCGAGAAATACAAGCACTGAGGCGCCTGAACCCACATCCAAATATCCTTACGTTGCATGAAGTTATTTTGTAAGTATATGTGGGGCTTTAAAGATTATCTGCACTTGATGATAATATTTCTTTTTAAGAAAGAAAACCATGGTGCCAAACAAAACCAAACCCATTGCCATCGAGTTGATTCCAACTCATAGCGACCCTTTAGGACAGAGTAGAACTGCCCCATATGGTTCCCAAGCTGTAATCTTTCTGCAGGCAGACTGCCACATCTTTCTCCTGCGGAGCAGCTGGTGGATTTGAACCACTGACCTTTTGGTTAGCAGCCAAGCACTTTAACCACTGCACCTCCAGGGCACCTCAAAAACCATGGTAGACATTTTAAATATTTGCTTTGTAGCTCAGAGGGTAATACTTTTCATTTTAAGTTATATTTTTATTTGTCTATCTGAGTCCTGATATAGAAATCAGTGCCTTGATTTAGGTGGTTACATAGCGTGAATGCACACGTGGCTCACCTGGTTTCTCCCCTGTGGTCACTTATGTCTCAGTGGATGAAGACTGGTGAGTCCCAAGGCCTTGAGTTTGAATCTATCTTAGTGGGGAAGCACTGATGGGAGATTTTTTCAGGGATTGTCTCTTCTCATCCCCACCAGTTGCCATGTCTGCCCAGTCTCCTGTAGCCTTTCTTATTATAATTTGTATAGTTTTCGTTTCTGTTTTGGTTATAAGATGGTTTCCATAAGGCTTACCTACCACCAGAGAAGACAGAGCCCAGCCTCTTTGCCAGTGCCTGCCTGGCGCCAGGACACTCCCCCTGGCAGCCCGCATTGCACGCTGGACCCGAGCTAGGATTACGGAGGCCACGGCTCTGGGGGCCTGTTTCCTGTGGGCCAGGGCCGCCCTGGTGCTCAGGTGTAGAAGCTCACTGCAGCCCCTAAGGGAGCCTGGCCTGTAGAACCAGCAAAGGAAGTCTGGTCTCTGACAAACTAAGGTGCAGGGAGACTTTACCCAAAGGACTGAACATTTCAAAACTCCAGAGGAGGTGTCTGGCAATAGCTGTGTGGCATTCTGGCCTGCGGTGTTCTTAGAATTCAGCTTGGACTGGGCCCAGGGGCCACAGTTTGTATACAGTAATGACAAGGATGCTGCACGCATGTCTCACAGGGGTCTCCTAACAGCCCGAAAGATAGCGGGACCCCGTGGCTCTGGAAGGCACCCAGAGCAGGGCCTTGGGGAGACACAGGCTCCCCTGCTGAGGTCCACAGGATCCTTGAAGTCTCCTTTGAACTCACCAGAAGCTGGCGGGTCTGTAGAGGCCTCGGTCCCAGAGTGTGGGGCACAGGTGTCACACCGCTTGGCAGGGCTCTTCTTTCTCTCCTTTTTCCCTGACTGGTTTTTGCTTTTTACCACCACCATTGTATATTCATCCCAATTACATAAGAGTAATTTAAGTAAATTAAATTTGCAGTCTCAGAGAATGAATTAATTTTTTTTTAAATTGTTTTGCTTAGCCAACTCCCTAACCTAATTTTTCTTTTCTACTGATAGTTTTATATTTTCAAGAAAAATCTCTTAAAAAGATAAAGCTTTTAGAATTTTTGCTTAAAGTAGGGTTTTACTATTATTTTTAATTAATTTTACCTTAAATATTGATTTAAAATCAAAACCTCCACTGTTGTAATCATTATGCTGCCATCTTTCTCTGCTGTGGGAATGCCTTATGTTCACCGAAAATGTTTAGAAATGAATTAAATATTTGATTGTATTTTCTGATTAAGGCAAGAAAAAAATTTAAAACCCTGCTTTTTTCTTCAGTGACAGAAAATCTGGTTCTCTTGCACTAATATGTGAACTTATGGACATGAATATTTATGAGCTAATACGAGGTACGTAGAATAATTTGAAAGCTAATCTAAGATCCTCTTTTAAAGCTTGTAATTCACTTATGCTAAGTTTTAGTTCTCAAAATTATTTGTCAACATACTGTAGATATGTAAGTGTGTAGCCCAGACGGCTTCACTCTGGGGAGGTATTTTCTGGTAGTCTCGTCTGTTCAGAACATGGCTGCAGCTGAGAAGTGAAGCCACAAGCCTTCATGCAGTCGGTGTGAGGGGGCTGAGGGGGGCACTGAGGGCAGCTGTGTGTGGGAGGGGGCCTAGGGGGATGTTCAGAGCAGCCATGGGTGTGAGGGGGCTGAGGGGGACGTTCAGGGCAGCCATGGGTGGGAGGAGACAGGGAGGGGGGTGCTGAGGGCAGCCATGGGTATGAGGGGGCTGAGGGGGACGTTCAGAGCAGCCATGGGTGTGAGGAGACAAGGAGGGTGCTAAGGGCAGCCATGGGTGTGAGGAGACGAGACCAGGGGGATGCTGAGGGCAGCCGTGGGTGTGACGAGACAAGGTGGGTGCTGAGGGCAGCCATGGGTATGAGGGGGCCGAGGGGGACATTCAGAGAAGCCATGGGTGTGAGGGGGCCTAGGGGGACGTTCAGGGCAGCCATGGGTATGAGGGGGCCGAGGGGGACGTTCAGGGCAGCCATGGGTGTGAGGGGACAAGGGGGATGCTGAGGGCAGCCGTGGGTGTGAGGAGACAAGGGGGGTGCTGAGGGCAGC